AAATGCTGCTAAATATTAACCACTGTGACATTTGATACAGACTCATGAGGAGACAGATAAGGATCTCAGAAACTCCTGCTTCTGCCCAAAGTTAACGCCAATGTGGCCTGAGAAACAGTTCCTTAGGTCACTTGATTTTAAATCCCAAGTTTATACCTTTGTAGGAAACTGCAAAAATAGAAAGATTTGAGAGGCTTCTAGGGATGACCTCTGGAAAGGAGAACGGACTAGCCAGCATTTGTTTTTAGGGTTCACTTTATACTTCTGAACTAAGAATTTTACAATGAGCATAGAGTCATGTATTTCTTGCTTAATTTTCAAAAATTTTAAAGAAATGAAAACAATTTACCTGTAAGAATTTACTTCTGGTTAACACATTTATGGGGGAAAATGCTGGTCTGGGAGGTGGGTGACCTGCTAAGCCCTGGCTATGTCATTAACTTCTCAGGTTCTATTTTTACTTATTTGTAAAATGAGGTGGTTGGATTAGTTCATCTTTTTGATTCTATGATCCTTCTGGGTAAATGGGAAGAAAGCCAATCTGAATTACAGGAAGTCCAAATTAAACTGTAGTTTCTTAAAGAAGTATCATTTTCTAACCTTGAGGTAAATTAAAAGTATCTCCAAGTCATTCTGGCCATTTTGGTCGAGCCTGAAGCCGCTTCCCTTTTAAACTGGAAGAGCCAGGCGGGAACCCCGAGAGCCCGTGACGTGGGGTGGATCTCCTGGCAGTCCCTCTGGAGCCCCAACCCTCAACATGTACCAAGCCCAGCACATTTAAGCTAAAAGAGTTTGACGTGTGTGTGTGTGTGTGTGTGTGTGTGTGTGTGTGTGTGTGTGTGTTTTAAATCATTTTATCAAAGTTGCTGAAATGAATTCTGTGCTTTGTTTCATTTTTTAGCTGTGTTTTTTAAAATTTTATTTCAATGCCTCCTTGTTGAATGAACACAGCAGGTGGGCTGGGCTAACTTTCTGCTCTTTCTCAGTAAGGGCTGCGATGGAAAGTTACTGTTTGAGGCCCACCAAGTTCCAAAGCACAACAAAAGGACAATGTAAGGCAATCTAATGTCCGTATTCTAAAATGCAGCAAATAACAAGTATAGAAAGTTGTTAGAGACCTTTGTAATTCTCATCTCAGGGATACAGTCTAACTTATGAGCCTTGACCCTAGAAATTGCTAAATCTTTCTGGAGTACCTGGATTTACTTGTGTTTGGGTCATGTTAGCATCCTTTCAGGAGAGGGAGGTCTACTACCAGTCAGGACTGAGCCTGGGACTTTGGCCTGGGAGCTGATGGAGGGGTGGAGGGCGTGAAGAAGCCTGAGCCAGGAAGTCAGTTCAAGGAAGCTGGCACCTAGGAGTCGCAGGGATGGAGCTGAGGTCTGATTCACGCAAGCGTTTCGAAAGTTGAGGTGCCAGGCAGTGAGGACAGTGGAGAAACTGTTCGGTGAAACAAGAGGCTGATGTTTCTGTCCTGCCCCAGAACAAACTGAAAGTGGTTATAAAAAGAAGCATGGTTCAGGGGAGAGACTGCCCACAGCCTCTATCCTTCACAACCCCTGGCCAGAAGTGACCCTTTCAAGGGCCCTGGTATTGTTCACCTCTTGACTCTGAAGTTCCAACTGAGCTGGGAGAACTCCTGAAAGGAAATGAATGCTCCGGGTGGCCAACATGATGCCTGCTTACCTGATGGATGCTGCTAGAAGGAAATCCCCTCTCCTGCCTGTCAAGTTTTGTTCTTCTAGGATGGTCCAACACTTTCCCCAAAGTATTGCTTCTATTTCCTAACAGAGTAGCAACTGTTTGATATTATGGAAATAAACTTTATCTTTCTTCTTTCTGCATAATTCCCAATTAGAATGGAATTCTAGTTTTCCTATATTTAGGTCAAACAGGTTTGATAACATTTTCTCACAGTTTTCTATATATTTCTTTTTTAATACGGCACTTTCTTCCTATCACAGCTTTTGCACTTGCTTGATAATATGGCATAATCATAGTAATTCCTTTATTTATTATTTCAGGGACAAATGTGGAATTAAATGTGGTTGTTAATATTAAAGCAAATTTACTATGCATTTGTATTGGATCTTAAAATGAAGCTTGTACATATGCAAACAGCAGGATGAATGCCTAGATTTTAATAAATATAATAGCAACAAAAACTAATTAAAAGATAAGTAGATGGGAATTTAACCTCTTCAATTTAAAAGCTCTTAGCTTGAATCCTTCATTAGAAGAGCTTCATCAACAACAAGTTGTAAACATTCTCAATAATTAAACATGAATATGTGATCTATGATAAAATTTGGCCCTTAGGCCATATATGCTTAACTATACAAGATTATACTTGCATGGATTCCCTCTTTTTATTTTTTATTTTTTATTAGCTCCATCCTCCAGGGAAATGTGTGTACTTGTCTTATTCCTATTCCTCCATCATGGACCATATTAAAAAATGTGTCTTCCCATAGACTAAGTGTTCATTGGTAAGCCACAGGGAACTTAGACTATAACATGTCCTTACCAATTAATAATGTTGTGGACTTGGTTTATGAGGACTGAATTATTCATCAGAATCTTTCTGTATCATGTCATTGCAAACTAAGACTTAGAGCACCAACTGGAGAGTGAAGAAGAAAATAGAATGATTTCACTTAAAAACCAAATAATCACCTCAATTTAATCCCTGTACTTTCCACACAAAATAATGGCAGTTTACTCTTAAGCCCCATTGTTTGTGAACATGGAAGAGTATTCATAAACTCCCCCAAGTGTCCAAATTAAGCTGCAATTCTGTGAGGTAGGAAAAAAGTATTTTAGAAGTCAGAAGATGTGGGTTTTAGTTCTACTTTTGTCACTAAGAGTGTGACCTTTGGCAAGATCCTTGACCTCTCTGGGACTGTTTCTACAAATTCTAAAATGAAGGCTTGGGTTAGTGGAAAGTTAAGATTTCTTCCAGTTATAAAATTTCATTAGGATTCTATAACATTTGTTTAGAAAGTGCAAAGATAGCAGCTGGACTATTTTAATGCAAGCTAGAAATAAAAACAAAGATAAAAAATATGATTTGAAATATTCAGGTAAATAAATAGTGTGTAATCCTCCCCCACTCCAAAGCTTTTTGGTTCTCTTTCTATCAGATTTGGTATATGAAATTTTAATCATTTAAAACAGCTGCAATTTGTGTTGAGAACAATGAATGATCTGCTGGAGTGGTAAGTGGATATAAATGAGACAGAGGGGCTCATCTCATGCTAAAAACAATGGCTGGTGTCTGGCACATGCGAGAACTTTTAATCACTACTCACTTGAGATGTTGAATTAACCAATGAGCTGTTAACTAATTAGTCATTTAGGCAATAAGTGTTATTCTTTACTTTGTGTTAAAACTAGAATTAACCATAATGAAAATGTTCTACTAGTATATCAGAAGCATTACAGCAAAATTTTATACAGCAACATCCTCAAACAGAATCGATCTGACTAAAACCAAATACTTAAGAATTCTTCCCTCTGCTCTCTATCTTCTTTCTAAATAGAAGGGCTGGTGGTTAATTTAGGTTCTGGGGCATGAACTAATGATATCCTTAGTGGCTGCCTTTCAATCATCTTAAAGAATTCTGGTTTTATTTTATTTTTATTTAAGAAGAATGATCGAGTTCATTGGAAATAAGTCTAGCTTTCATGGGTTTTCTTCTACTTTTCAGCAACTTCCTTAGTTCCTTTGTTTCTTGTTGCTAAGTCAGCAGAGTGGTTATAAAAGGGAGATGATTTAAAGGTGACTTACAGATGTTAAATTTCAGGGTTTTTGTAAGAAACTTTTCAAGTTGCACAATTTAGGATTTTAGAAGAAGGCTCAGAAGTAATAGAATCTTCCTCCAGGACCGAGGTGAGTTAATAAATAGCTTTGAACTTACTAAGAGTTGGAACTATGGATGAGTGTGTGTGACGGTATATGTGCACATGGAGAGATGAGTAATTAAGTGCTGACCAGCTTTCCTTAACCATACGTCACCGCCGTGGCTAACAGAAAGAGCTGGCTTGCACCTTGTCTGCCCAAAAAAAGACAAATATAAGTTATATTTAGCTGACAAGGAAGACACAATTTCAAGTGAGGAAAAAGGAAAGAGGGTTGAATGAAACTGAGAATAATGAAGGCAAAGTATTACTCTTGACTTCTGGGGGAAATGTTTGGTTTTCCTGTGTGAGGGGAATTATGTAAATGTGAATGGTGGTAATAATCCCACCAGAGCATATTTTATGTGACAGTGAAGTACATGTCTGAGAGCTGTTCAATGAGTTACTGTTATTTTTTACAAAGCTATCCTCCTTATACAGAAAATAGGTACCGGCAAAATACTGCCCTCTCAAATACATCGACTCCATATAGAAATGAATATTTTTCAACCTGAATTGAAATACAAAAATGTAATTAACAGAAGTTTCAATGTTATAAATTGTTATTTTCAAACAAGGGTCATTTAATAAAATGTAACCCCTGTAAATAATATCTGATACACACACACACACACACACACACACACACCTGAAGATATAAAATGTCCTATGTGATTTGTCATTTCTCTTTTAACAAAGTGCTAAATCAGAATGGAATTACATTTGTCATACAATTTTTAATGAGGCTACATTAAACGTTTAGTCACCTTTAATATAATCATTTAAGAGTCTAATAGATGAAACTGTATTTCACAGAAACAAGGATAACTTTAGGTCGAGACACAAAGTGTGTGTTCTGAAGTCACTGGAAAGCAGTTGGTCACCATAATAAGATGGCCAGGGGTTTCTGACCTAATCTATAATAATAAAAACGTGATATGCTAATTAGACCAGACAGCTGAATGACCTTCTGGACATCCTTCCGGATGACCTTCCAGACGAAGCCGAGGCTGCGAGGGCCGAGGCAAGCTGCCATGGCTGCGAGGGCAGAACCCCTTGCATGAATTTCGTGCATTGGGCCTCTAGTTAAAAATAAGGAGTCATAGAAGAAATGACTTTATTAGAAAAAAATGTAGTGTACATGGGGCTAATTTCTATTCTGGATATACCTGTTGGCTGTTTTTTTATTAAAATCGGATATAAGATTTAAACTTCTTTAGAAGTTAGTGGCATTTCTTCCTATTCTGATATGTCCCTTAGGGAAGGCGTTATCTCCATGTGATAGACGCCCTTTATTTCTTTTCATAGTAACAATGGATCCATCAGCAGTGTGGCACTGGCACAGAGCACAGAGGGAATTATTTAGGTAGTGCCTTGTGTGTAAGACAGCACACTGCCAACCCCAGCAGCGGGCACAGGCATGCCATTTAGAGAGTTTTTAAATCCCCGGTTATCATTTGAGTCCCACATTATCATTACCTAGTAGTAATTAAATTAATGTGATCACCAGTAACTTCACAAGACCTCTGAATGAATTTTCTGTCTTCTCCTTTTTATCCGTCAGGTGTGCAATTCCGAGCAAATGTGCAGGATGCAGAATGGATCTCCAGTCTCTCTGTAAACTCCTTCGAGTCTGTGCTATTACACGGAGACAACCACATCAAGATAGAGTCTGTCATAGGATTCCCTGAAGCACAGAATGAGGAGGAGACTGAGCAAACACGACCCGGGAAGGCACCAGTTGAACCAAGACAACTCTGTAAGACAAAAACACGCAGTTGTAAGCATTCACGTGTCACCAGCAGTACGCCCCCTGTAGGCCGGGAGCAAGCTGCTCTGCATTCAAAAGCACTTACGATAAACTCACCCTGGAAGGCCTGGCACTGGCTTTCAATAAACAGAGAGAGTCTGGGGTCTAAGTGATGCATGTAATATACTACAGGGCTTTCATGTGGAGTATTTTTAATCACTTTGTTAATAAGTTTTCATCAATTTAACCCACCTTGACTTTGGTGGCAAAAAAGAATTTATTAACTTCAAAGAAAAAAATCAATCACCTTTAAATGTTAGTTTGTTAATTATTTTTAAGGGCCCTCTATCACTCTCACTTTTGTCCTTATTTAGAAATAGCTGCTGGATTAGAAAAACAAATAAGAACATCACCTGAACTTTGAAATAACACTTTTATTTTTTGGATAGAAACATCTAATTCTCAGCAAAAACATCAAGTAGTAATTCACTGTAAAACAGATGAGAAAATATATAAAAATTAAAGAAAAACAAAAAAATTAATCTTAATTCTACCCTCACAGAAACTACTGTGCATATGTTGGCTTATTTATTTCTTCCTTTTTCCTGCTGGCATCATAGTTACATATGATGCCAATTACCAGAAAACCTACAAGAATCACCTAAACCAGTGGTTGGCAAACTGTGGCTCACGAGCCACATGCGGCTCTTTGGCCCCTTGAGTGTGGCTCTTCCACAAAATACCAACTTCTGCACATGGGCCACGAAGTTTCAGTCGCACTGTACATGCGTGCCCACACGTGGTATCTTGTGGAAGAGCCACACTCAAGGGGCCAAAGAGCCGCATGTGGCTCGTGAGCCGCAGTTTGCCAACCACTGACCTAAACAGACAATTCTGTTATGAGCTGATTTAATGGAATTAAGAACATGCTTCTTCAAAAAGGCTTGCTCCTGAATTCAGGACTTGCCAACAGGCCAATCCTGGGCCTCTCGCTATGAATACACACCAGCCCACCATGGCTGCTGCCAGCTGTTCCTCCGGCTCCAGTGGCCCTTCAGCGAGGCATCTGCTCAGCCTTCTCCTATCCCGACCCCTTTACCAGTCGATCCTGAGGTGCTGGGTGCAGAAGTGTGCAGCTTCTTGGCATAAAGAGGTTGGTGGCAGTGGTGGGGATAACTTCTATAGTTTAATATCCATGTAGCATTTTTAATTTAAAGAAACAGCAAATGGCCCTAGCCGGTTTGGCTCAGTGGAAAGAGCATCAGCCTGTGGACTGAAGGGTCCCAGGTTCGATTCCGATCAAGGGCATGTACCTTGGTTGCGGGCACATCCCCAGTAGGAGGTGTGCAGAAGGCAGCTGGTTGATGTTCCTCTCTCATCAATGTTTCTAACTCTCTATTCCTCTCCCTTCCTCTCTGTAAAAAAACCAATAAAATATACTGAAAAAGAAACAGCAAATGAGATAAAGAAGTTCCCTGGGACATCTTTTCTTTGGGCACTGCTATCGGTTTATATTTTCCCTTTGTACTTCTACCGAATGCTAATACTGCCCTAATCTTCAAGAATCATCCTAAAGATGCCCACAGTTTAATCCATAATTCATATGGCTAAAAGAGCAATTTATGCTCAGGAATGGAAACCCAAAAACCAACGGGTAAGAGAAGGTGCTGAAATACTTTTTTTCTATAATATGCTCAGAAAAGCCACCTCCTTACCTCTCAATTTCTACATTTTAAGTCAGACATGCTATTATATGGCATGTAACAAAGACATGTATTTCAATCATATTTCATGCAAAGCTGTTTTCTGTGCTTTACTTGGGCTGAATATAATCTAAACACTCAGAGAGGCTGTGACCTCTGGGATCTTGTCTTTATTCTGATATTCCCTGAAATGACACACCCGGTGTCTTCTGCTTTAATATTAACCATATTCTGGATTTCTGATGTTAATTTTAACAGGCAAAAAAAAGCAGTAAAAAAATAAGAAGAGAAAAAGCAGCAAAACAGTTGACAACATCATACCATTTGTAGTGAGTATTTTGACTTTAAGGAAAAATTTTCAGCTGTTTTTTATGGGGAGCTAGAGCAAACACACATGCAGCAACAATCAACTTGTCCTTGCTCTTCTTAAACCTAGCTAAGTGTTTGCCAAAGCAAACCTTTGTCAATACTAAGCAAAACTTGGTCAAATATTGCCAAAGCGGACCTTCTAGTTTATCAGAGTTGTAAATTCTTCCTTCTACCTACATTCAGATGAAGTCTTTAAAAATGCCTCATCATTACTCTTTAGTGTCATGGTGGGTTGGTTCATGTTTACTATTATGCTTCTCTCTGAAAAGTCAAACCCACTTGGCTCAGTAACTATAAGTGTTCTTTGAAATTCTTTGCCTTTTACGAAAGCAACAGGTCAGGGACGTGAACCTGTACATTTTCCCACCAGAAGCCACTCACATAAACCACAATGTAGGCGCTCTAACAATCAGGAAATGGTTTGTGTAAAAGTGTCATTTAACTTAGCAGTCGCAAAGCCAACTGCTGTCCTTTCGAGCCAGATGTCATAGGACCCAATTGAGCCAACAGAGTCCTAATCCATTGGATTTGCTTATTCTTATCCTTAAATCTTTTAAAGTGAGCACGGTTTTCTAACATTCCGTCCCTTTGTCCTTAACTAGAGAAAATACAGATCTATACTCCAGGCTTCGCAATTCGCCTCTCTGCTTCTGCTGGTTCTGTCAGTTATTACGTACACTGTAACCTGAGGCTCTCTGCCAATTTACAGTTTGGACAGGTGCTATATTTCACTCAGTGTAGTGGCTCTGCACCAAATGGTGATGCTCTGTTGGGACCAAACTAATTAGGGTTTTGCTCATCCTTTCACCTTTTTCTACCAGAAGTACTACTGTGCTTTACACCTCCTCTTTCCATTCAATGATGTCATGGCTTCGTCTCTACCACCTTCAGGTACTTTTCTGAATCCAGATACCACCCTCCAGAACGAACCTTCTATTTGTTTTTGGTGGTTTAACCAGAATTATGATGATTTAGCAAAACTGTCTCCATTCTCATTTGTGAGGATCCAGCTGACATCATGATTTCACACACAGAGTAACACCCTGCTCCCTTTGCTCCATGTTAATTACCCACCAGATCTGACCATCAAACACACTGCCTGATTTTACTCCTTAGATGTCAGAATACTTCTCACAGGCCCACATATGCTGAAGCTGTTGTAACCACTAGTCAATGCCTCCCACCTCAGCCAGACCCCTGAATCTTTTGAGCCACATCGTAGCCTCAAATTCATGGTCAGCTGCTTCAAAAATGAAAGGACTGAGGTAAAACAACAACAACAACAACAAACTTTAAGGCTTTTAGCCAAAACCTGCTGCGAAGCTTCTAGAACAACAACAACAACAACAAACCAGATAAAACAAACTGCAGAATAAGTTACAAATCATACAATAGAACGTCGGAATACATTTCAGAGCATATAAAGAATGTAAGAGCACTCCCTAATGATGCTGTAAGTGAAGTTATTAGAGGAAAGCATCACTGTGCTGTGTGAAATAACTCACTGAGATTCTCAAAGCAAATATTATAGGAAACAACTGAGTTTTATAAACATGCTTATATTAGGGAGCATGGAACACTTTTTTTAAAGTGACCATGAAAAAGCCAGGTCAGAACAACTCTAAGAAACTTCTGGACAGAAAGGCACTCTATCAACACAGCGAAGCATAAAAAATGCCGAGACAAAGAAACAGGACACAAATGACAGAAATGGAGGAAAGCAAACTGCTGGATATAGAGTTCAAAACCACAC